TCAGCCAGTCGTGCATTTCCTGATCTTTGTAACCTGTCACAGGTGCCGCTGCAGCCGGTTTGCTGACGCAGTTTATGATTGTAGTTGTTTTTATCGGCGCTTTAGTGACGTCAGTGCAGAGGCTCAATGATCGTGCTGGGGCACCAGCGTGAGGCTTCTCCGCCTCCTCCGGGGTGATGTGGAGGTTTTATGTCAGTGGTGACACATGACGAGTCCTCGCCCGTCAACACCGGTATAAATGATACAGAGCTGTGGTGATTTCACCGTGACCTGTGCTCTGCCTCACAGGTGTCAGGGATGCACAGAGCTCCACACAGCAGAGTCCAGCTGTGATTGGTGCCGTGCTTCAGCCAGGCGGAAATCAGTTTTCTTCAGATCTGAGAGTCTTACATGACAAAGATGCAGCGGGTCGATCCATGAACTCGATTTATTTTGATTTACAACATTTCTGATTCAACCCAAAGGACGTTTCTTTAAAGCTGATCTAACAAATAAAACCCATTTGTTAAAAAATAAATCAAAGAAACTAAAATACAAATCTAAACCCGTACACTATAGAGAGGGAAAGCATTATTATATATTATAAATATATTTTTAATAAATATATTTAAGTTCAGGCTCATTTCCAGCTCCATGTTTTTATTTCTTGGAGACCATTAGCTTTGCAGGTCAAAATAATCCTAATTTATCTTGGTCGCACAGGCTCATGCTGCAGTGTGATTTGCTGTGTTTTAGTCCATTGTTGCCAGGCAACATGATGACATCATATGTCATGCATAACAAGTTTTGCATCAACAAGTTTTGTTGAAATTGAACCGATGCGATGCTGTTATAAAGTGTTGCCGGTGCATAAATACTCCAAATGGGTCATTTTAGCCCACTGGAAGGTGGTTGCTAGGCAACAAGATGACATAATATGTGATAAAGATGAAGCTGCGTACACACTGGAAGCGACAGGGCGACCAGAGACCATAAAGTCAGTGACTTTCGACGAAATAACAGCTGGTGACATGAGGGGGGTGGGAACCAAAATAGACTTGACTCAACTTACAGGTGAACCAATGAGAGCGAAGAACACAGCTGACCGACATACTACCTGGTAGTAAAAGTGTTAGAGAGTTACCTAGGCAACTGGACCCTGGAATGTTCTCAGGCAATCGGTTGCCGGTTTCAAGGCGACGTGCGACTGGCTGCCAGCATGAAAGCAGCTGAAGAACCTCGTGGCCACCTCTTGATCGCGAGTTTGCAGAGACTGAGCACTTTTAGCTCCGCCCCTTCAAGCAAACGTTTTTTACGATTCACTGTTTTTGCCCAAAGCCTTGGATTTGAGCAGATGGTTCTAATCTCTTGACCTGCTCAGAGGCATTTAGTATTTTCTCCTAATCTGTTCAAACCCGAGGAAGCAACACAGTGCTCCTCCGGTTTCACTGAAGACGCTTCTACCGTTACATGTGATCACTTTAGAGCTTTTACTGTGCTGAGCTGCAGTCGTCCGCTCAGCTGTGGGGTTACTTAGAGATAATAATTAGAAAATGTAGCCCTCCCAGCATTATATATGCTGCTGCACTACATGGAAGTCTTTATGTAGGGGGGTAGACACAAAAATGGGAATGGTGATGTCAGTGAGGAGGAATCAGTCCGACCTTTGACCTCTGCCTCATCTCTCCTCAGGACACGGAACAGAAGAAGAGTGGGAACTATTTCTTCCTGGACGACTAAGACCCACCTGACCAATGGCGACTACCCAGCCGCATCTTGGAGCCGGCGCACGCTCAAGCGTTATAACCTCAACATTTCATGGCCGGCCTGCCAAACAGCAGACATATTAAAACTTTAAATAAAAAAACATTTAAGAAAAACAAAGAAACATCAGCCTATATGTACCGGACTGCGTTCAATAGCCAGCAATGTTGTGAAGTGTTTAAAAATAAAGTGCATTGCGTTGTGTGTGTGTGCGTGCGTCAGGCTGAACACGCTCGGCTGAATTCAGAGGCAGCGAGAATATTTTAACACCCGTACATTTACAATCAGAATAAACTGATGCTTCCTGAACCAGGAATGCTCCGTGTGTGTCTTTGTTTGTAAACACCTTACAGACTCGAGGCTAACACAACTCAGTTCAGTTTTATTCACAAAAAAGATAAAGACTCTACAACAATACAGAGGAAACCCCTACAAACGCTTTGTGACAATGGGAAGGAAAAACTCCCTTTTAACAGGAAGAGACCAGCAGGCTTGGGGAGGGACAGCCATCTGCTGTGACCATTTGGGGGTGAGGAGAGGAACAGAGTGACAACTATTCAGACTGTGCTTGACACCTACACGCAATTTAGATTCACTAGTTAACCAAACCAGTCACTGCAAGTCTTTAGACTGGAAGTAAACCAGAGTACCCAGACACACCCCAGGATTTGAACCTTGTTGGTGTGAGGCAGCAGTGCTAACTGTGCAGACACCTAGGAGCTGAAATAATGGTTTAAAAGCATTTTCATGAACTCTAGAGCAGAGGTGATCAATCAATTCTACAAAGGGGCCACATGAGAAACTGGGACTGTTGTGGAGGGCCTCACCAACAAGCTGGACTGTTTTTTGTTTTTTTGATAGTTGCAATTTACGGACGTTCCCTAAACACATCACGTTTTAGTCATGGAGAAAGAGCAGCTATAAATAAACAACTAGTGTATGCCTGTTACCAGTTATCATTTCCTGAGCCCACTAGTTAAGTCATGTTGCTGCACATGGTGTGCAGAGACCGTCATGTTTGTTTCATGTTAACTGGATGATGTTATGATACATATCATCCCGCTTCCACTGGGTGGCGCTGTAACTGTGACCTGTTATTGGCATGTTGAGGTCTCCAGAGTAGAGATTAAACAATGTGTGGGGTTATTTCAGCGTTTATTGTGACGGCACGCAGTCAGTGGCCTCAGGGTGGATTCAAAGCAGGCCTCTGAGTTAGCCTTGTGGCAGACAGAGAAAAGGAAATGGTAATGTTTGCGGTGACTTCCTCCTTCACTTATCACTGTCACAAGAATTTCAGAAAACTTGGCATTGAGGTTATGGTCACTGAGATTTTTAGTATGAAACTCCTACGTTCCCTTGTTCTCAAGTTGAACCTGCCCAAAAGTGACATTGAGCTAAACTTTTCAAAACAAGGTAGTTAATCAGAGATTTCACTGCATCATTTAAAAACTGCACATTGTACTTACTCATGTTATCTTTGTCTAATAATAAAGTTTGATGACCTGAATCAGTTCTTCACGGCACTGCAGGCGATGATCAAAACCCACGAAACCTCTGTGGGGATCATCCCCCCTTCCCCAATATTTTTGTAAAGAAGTTTGTTGTGCATTGCAATAGTAACTACGATATGCTAATAATATGCTAAAAGATTCTGAAATTTTACTCACACAAAAACCAACCAACAGCTCCAGAGGCAGCATCTGAGCCAAAGGTTTATTTATTTAACCACATAGAAAATCAAATCCAAACAGCACGTTTTTGTTCTATACAGCAGTGTTTCTCCGAGCACAGAGAAGTAAACTCAGCAAACATAAGGCACTGGATCTGAGGTTAGACGACCAGAAACCAGCAGACGGACCTGAAAGAAAAATGTCCAAGCACAACTCACAGTGACCAACAGCCTGATGGGCGCTAACAGCAGCAGCAGTTCTTACTCTCCTTTCCAGCCCGCTCCCCTTGGCTTTTTGCCCCCCCGCACTGATCCACTGAGCTCCCAGTATTTATAACGACATAAAAAACAAACACGACAAATTTATCTTTGACTCATCAGAGGAAGACTTCTGCAAATAATTCTAGAGAGAGGAGCAGACAGAGCGCTTTGTGTCTGTGCTTACCTTAGCATAGAGACATGGGCACAAACAGCTAGCCGAGCACGCCCATTTAAAGCTTGTTACTGTATGCAAAAACTGAATCTGGGGATTGACGGGCTCACCTGTGCTAAGCTAGCTAACTTATTAGATGTTATTTATATACAAAAATGCTAACTTTCTCCCGACAGTCATGGCTTTTCCTACTGCTTTGTGCTCAACTAACTATCATGATGTAAAAATAGGAGTGGAAAGATTTTTTTTTAAAAAACATATGGTTTTAAGAGAGTTACTAAAAGATTGATTTATATAGGAAATAGGAAAATGCTACTTTATACCTCAAGGTTTTTTTTGCTAAGCTAGCTAACAAGCTTTGCTAAGCTGTGCTAAATAACTATATGTACAAGTGAAAGAGTATGGTTTTATGCAATTTTTTTATGGATCATATAGAAAATTATACTTTACAGTCATAACTGATTTCCCGCTGCTAGCATTAAACCGTGATAATAGAAATAGAGGGGAGAGTATGGTTTTAAGAGGGTTACTAAAATGTATTTATATAGCAATGGTAATTTATGCCTTACTGATCCTTTTTACTATATATCTTTATGAAATGAGTATTGTTCTATGCCAGTGTCATTAGATTGTTTTTTGTAATGTAGCAAAATGCTACTCAAAGTCTTCGCTGATTTTCCGTTGCTTTATGCTAAGCTAAGCTAAACTGCCACAGACATGAAAGCGTTTCCTCTCAGGCAAGAAAGCTAATAAACATATTTCCCAAAATCTCAAACACAACCAGTAAAGAAACCCATACATTCATCATGTCAACACAGTGGGTAACTTTTTTAAATCATTCACAATCCTCGTAAACAAACTTTGAGCTCGACATTCATTGAATCCATTCGTCTGAGTGATAAGAAATTGTGCTAACATGCTATGCTAATGCACTTAAAAGAAAAGAGGAGGATAGTGTTTATGTTTTGATACAAAGCAATAAGCTTGTTGATTTAGAGGCAGCAAAACACAAATGGAGTTATAGATTTTCCGACTCGGGTCCACACTGCATTTCCATGGCTGCCGGTCTACACCAATCAGATCTCCAGAAAAAAGCAAAAGAAAGAAAGAAAAAAAAAATCACCACCTGTGTCCTCTTCTCTCATTGGCTCAGAGCTAATACCTTTTCTCGCGAGCCCATCCCATGTGGGCAGGGTTAGGCTGAATATAGTTAAACCCCACCCCCATATCTCTTTCCTGTCTACTCCTGTATACGTCCCTGGTTGGATCGTAGCCACCCCTTCCTCTGCCTCCTCTCCCTCCTCTTCCTCTGTAGGGCCTCCTCTGCCCTCTGTAGTTTGGCACCATCGTTTTAAACCCCTCCACCTCCTCCCAGTCATCCTCCGTGCTGCAGCTCACAGAATGATTGTCCGTCATGGTGACAGGCTTCATGTAGCTGCCCCTCGGGCTCTGTTCATACACGTTAGTGGCATGGACTGGTTTCCGGGGACGGTATTGCGACGGAGAGCCAGGGCTGCTGCTGCTGCCTTTCATGGCTCCCATGGAGACGTCCTTAAAGTGCGGATCAGAAAGCAGAGCAACCTGAGAGCGAGACAGAAGGAGGTCCTGTTACAAGAGGATAAGATGCAGCATGACTTTCAAAATAAAACACCTAGTAATAAAAAGCTACCAGGAACGCTCTGGAATGTCAGACTTTCTAAATAAAAGCCACAAGGTAGAGAAAGTTAACTGGTTTCTTTATACACTCAGATATACATACTAAGAGCCAGTTAGTTACCAGGATGTTAAAGGATGGGTTTTAGTGGGGGGGTGGGGAGAATCTCAATTTCTTAAGATCTCATCAAGATGATTTGACGTTGTAACAATTTTTAAAACAAATCACTTTGTTATGAAAAGCTACCAGGGAGTTCAGAAATGTGACACTTTTCACATTATGGAAACTGTCAGATTTCCATAATAAAAGCCAACACCTGCTTACAGGAAATTGAAGGATGCCTTTCAGTGATCTTTTAAA